ATACTTTTTAGCACGTAGCTATTTATTATTAGCATTATTCTACCGACGTCTGATTTCTTTTTAATTATCGGAAATGTGTTTTTCTAAGGTACATAAACTTTTGGGATTGACTCTATAGATCATTAAACAGTTTGTAACACGATCTTATATTTTTGTGTACAAATCGGTCCCGTTTTCACAGGTATAGAGTATCCAGACCTGTCTATAAGATCGTGGTTTGTAATGCCGACGTCAGAATAGATACGCGAACTCGACCATCGAGAAAAACGTTTCAAACAAATAAAGCGGACAATTGATATGGATCTTCGTTTTTTAAATAGAAAGTTTCATTGTTTAAGATCTCAATTGTAGGATGACAAATAAATACGTTTTGTTCCTAACCATTTTTCTATCTGATCGACTAAGTAGTAAGATGCCTCACCTTGTATACCTTGTATAATACTTCAAATTGTACGATGCTCGTGCATCATCCATAATGCCCATTTGAGATTATGATTTGAGATTAATTTAGAATCACAAAATATAAATATTATGTCGTCATAATAAAAACGTAGTCATAAAGTAAATTAACGTACTAAAAACCTTATATCTTTGAAATGACGTTTGTTTATTTTATCATTTAAAAATTATACACATTTTTTTCTTATTTTTACATTTTTCTTTGTATCTCAATATTTCGTGGAAATTGGTCGAATTGTTGTTGTTGTTGTTTCATGTCACTATAAATTTTGACAAACAAATCGACTTCAAGTGGATTAATATATTTGTTATTGAACGATGATCTTGAAAGTTGAAAACGTTTCCGAATTCTAAGGTCTCAATCGAGGTCGTGCGAGACTTTCACGTATGGAATTGTTCTCATTCACATTTCAACTGTACCGATGGTATCGTTGCTGTAGGTCTTTAAGAACACGTACCATTGTGAACTACGTCAACTAAGTATACATAATAGCTAAAATTTTGTTGGATTGTGTATTGTAAAAGTCGAAATTATTAGATATTTTTACAACGAGAGGAATAAAAAGATAAAGAAATAAAATTATGCACAAATAAGGCAAACTTACGTTTGGTGTAAACGTATTTTGCATTGCACTTAGCTGCGCAGTACTTTAGTGGAAGTTAAGAAGTAAGAAAAAATATGCATTCATCAATAATGACGCATGCATATATCAGTAACCAATGCTAATATAGTAAGTAAATTCGAGTACACCCGTTTAGGCTTCTGAAGGGGCGCGTAGATCTGTAGTTGTAATCAATCGTTCGGAAGTATCAGGAGCAATGAATCCCTTCATCCCAGTTTTAACAACATGTCGCCCAAGTAACAATGTAACATGGCGTTGTGCCTGGTGTAAAGTTTGCAAGTGAAATCGTCGCCAAAGCAAAGCCTTAGTATCAACGGACTTTGTCCAATCATGCCACTCTCCGCGCGTGATGTCTTCGTGCTTCATTTCGAATATCTTTTCTATTACGCTACGTAACCATACATTCCAGTCTTTAGCCACATCGCTAATGTATTCAAGCCACCTAGTCCAGTCTCTGATTTCCTTCGATTCCACTTCCGGCATATACTTTTCCATAAACGCGAGCTGAGATTTCGTTAGAATTGATCTCAACCAATTGGCGATCTTCCCGCACACTACGTTCATTATAGTCTTCAATTCTTCCGTCAAAAGATCCGGATCTTCTAACAATACAATGTTACTTAGTTTCTCATAAATCGCGCGATGTATGCCATTTGTTATTGGATCCTCGCCTGCATTTTCTGGCATGCTTTCAATCATTTTATAGACTGCATCAATGATCTTATCGAACGTGAGGAAAGGTAAATCTGTTTTCAGCAATTCTTCTAGACCCTTCATAATATCTATTTCTTTAGACACATCTTTCTCAACCCTTATTATACTTGGCTCTTTAGGTATTTCTTCCTCTTCCCCAATTATTGTTTCCGGAGGTGCAGGTTCTTCTTCTGCTGCGGCCGCTTCTGCCGCCGCTGCCTCTGCTGCGGCGGTTTCTGCCGCGGCCGCTTCTGCCGCTGCCGCCTCTGCCGTGACTGCTTCTGCCGCGGCCGCTTCTGCGGCTGCCGCCTCTGCCACTGCCGCCTCTGCCGCTGCCGCTTCTGCCGTGGCTGCTTCTGTCGCTGCCGCTTCTGCCGTGGCTGCTTCTGTCGCTGTTGCTTCTGCCGCGGCTGCTTCTGTCGCAGTTGCTTCTGCTGCAGCTGCTTCTGCCGCTGCCGCCTCTGCCGCTGCTGCTTCTGCCGCTGCCGCCTCTGCCGCTGCTGCTTCTGCCGCTGCTGCTTCTGCCGCAGCTGCTTCCGCCGCGGCCGCTTCAGCTGCGGCTGCTTCCGCTGCGGCTGCTTCCGCTGCGGCTGCTTCCGCTGCGGCTGCTTCCGCTGCGGCCGCTTCAGCTGCGGCCGCTTCAGCTGCGGCCGCTTCAGCTGCGGCTGCTTCAGCTGCGGCCGCTTCGCCAGCAGCTACTTCCGCTTCTAACTCAGTAGCTTCTACCTCTGCTTCAGCTACTGGTTTCTCTTCTGTTTGTATCTCTGTTTCAATCTGTACTTCCGATTCCACTTGGGTCTCAGTTTCCACATCAACTGCTAATTCTATTTCCGTTACTTCCAGTTCTTCTTCCTCTTCTTCCAATGTAATTTCTGCTTCTTGTACTTCATACTCTATCTCCCCTTCTACCTCCTCCTCCTTTTCCGGTTCTTCTTCTATTTCTTCTTCCACGTCTTCTTCCTCTTCTTCTTCTTCCTCCTCCTCTATGTATTCATCACGTTTAGGTTTATATCTGTCCTCATCTTCATCTTCGCTTTCTTCCCAGTCTCTCAGTTCTTCTTCAGCCTCCCTTAATTCCTCTTCTTTCTTCTTGCATCGTTCTCGCATTTTCTCTTCCTGATACTCCGCAACTTCAGATACCACGCCAGTTACCCAAGAAGCTATCACGTCGGCCAAAAATCGCATCTGTTGTGATTTACGATCTTCGCTTTGCGTTGGAGTGTACTCAAGTACTTGCGTTAAACGTTTAACTATCACTTCCGTGACATCGCTGATCTCCTCTTTTGGAAGTGAACCCCTCCATTTTAAGATGCTTCGCACAAAGCGCTCAGCCATAATATACTGACAGGTGATTGCATCTTTGTCGAACGCTCCTGGACTTGTGATACCAACAGTTGTTTTCTTTAATTGTTTTGTCTCTTTCGAGTGCCACATTTCTGGTTTTCCTTTTCTTTTCTTGTCCCGCGGTTTCTTTTTGCGCGAGACTTTCGCTGCTTGTCTGCAAACAAAATTCATAGTTTGTAAATTTGACGATACTCCACATTAAGACGACAATTATCGGATTAACTGATACTTTACTCAGGAGTCAAGCAGGTTTCATGTTCTACAGTTTGAACGAGATTATCCAAAAGCGCCGGGGGTAATATTGACGCACCTTCTTGTAAAGTGATCAACATTCGATGTCTTACCGGATGTGCCAATTCTTTAATCCGTTGTGAGACAGGTTTCAATTTTCGAAGTACCATTTTCTGACGACACTCTATCGGACATCTTCGACTATAAAGAAAGTATCGAGTTACGTTTAATTTTGGACCAATTAAGAATAAACAAGTTGTGCCGTTAAAAAATTGTAAACTTTTACCTTGAAGTCGCTAATATATCGATGTGTTCTTTTTTCGTTAAACAGTGTCTAGGTATAATATCTTGCTTTGAAAGTACGCATGGTTCTCCAGCTATTGGAACCATTAAAAACTTTCGGCCTCTCTTCCTTCTTTTCCTATCTGCTTGGCAACAATCTCCATTTGACTTTTCGGTTTGCTACTGAATAAATTGAGAAATCAGTGGTAACTATACATATAGTTATCGTCCAATTTTTTTTAACAGAAATTGATGATTCGAAGGATATAATTACGTTATAGTTGAAATATCAGGAGACCAAAGAAGAGTTATTACTTATTATTAAGAAGAAGAAAAAATTATTACTTATTATTAAATATTAAAAGCGTTTAATTTGCCTTAGATTTTTTTGTAACTGCTTTGTCACAATGTTCCCATCTTTTCTTTCTTTCCACTACTCGTGGATATCCTTCAAACGTATCATCTTTCAGTCCTTTCTTTATTTCACGATTTACTGATGTGGCTCGCTTAACGTCTTCAGGAGAATCATCGTTCTTTTCCATTTCCATGATTATTTTCTAAACTTAATATCCAGGACCTATGCATGTGGACATGTACATTGCTAAATATTTAAATATTTGATATCTTCATAGTTTTAGTAGCTTCAAGTTAGTAAAAGTTTGTAAGTTCTATAATGATCCTTACGTACTTTGTAACGGGAATTTGAAACTTTGATGGAAGTTCGAGGATGTTACAATATTTTCTGTTTAATTTTTTCTTTGCTCTTTACACGCTGAAATTTTGATCAATTTTTGGGAAACGAATATTTTTTGTTTATCTACATGGAAATTTATTTATATTTTACATGATATATGTGATAGGTTAAAAAGGGCAGGTTGGAGGGATGTATTTTGTTTCGGAACTATTATTTTTTTATCATGTTCGATAAATCTCGCATTTTTCATAATTTCAATTGATGGACAATGTAGACTGCAGCAACAGTTCGAAGATGGCGTTGGTTACGACATCAGTGCTCGACACCGATAGCCGCTCCGTTTACTAATCGATCATTCCGGGTTCGGGAGTCGGTGCAAAGTAGATGCAAGTTGGTGTGCCTATTTGAGAGGACGCATACTGCACAAGGACAGTTGGGATAGTCAAAGAACTGTTTCTAAGATATGCAGGTGTGTGAAAATAACTGTTGCTTCTGCATAAGTAATCCGTGATACAGGTGTATTAGTAACAAAGATGTTGCTAACTGTTATTGTGTCGTGAAAAATGTCGAGAAGCGACGGTGGCGAGCCTTCGATACGAAACACGATTTGAAACGTTCCGTTCGCAACGTTGCTGCACACCGCGCCAGTGCTGACGATTATGATGAGATAACAAACGCAGAATGAAATACAGTGGTGATAACCTTCTCGGTTATGCAGTTTACGCGTATATTCTATCTTTTAACGGTAAGTTTGTAACTCCTTCTCGTTTCCTTTAATATACCGATTTCTCTTATTGTTTTTCTTCAAACTACTGCTTCACCTATGGTCGCTTCTTTTTGAACAACTATTTATACTCTCCGTATGTACCCTAATGTTTTTCATACAGATTAGATGTATAATAAGCCTTTATTCGAAATTACATATCTGTATTTCAGTATATCTCTGATCCATTGTCTGTTCGGTGCATTCTATAGCGCATTAATATCGATTTTTTTTAACGTTTTCCAATTTTGCATGATCTAAAATTCTATACTACTTTGATCGTAGCAATTTTTCCCAAAGGTTCACCACTTAATTACTCAATGGATTGTTCGATTGACGTAACGTGCATACATCGCATGTATTGCCGTTCACCTGCTTCTTCACTGATTTTGATGCAATAAACTAAACGTGGTACATTTTTATTAGCCGCATATAAAGGATATATCTGGATAGGAGGGTGAAAATGCTTTAAAATCAAATTAAACGTATTAGTTTTTTATTTTTTTTTTATTGACGCACACAGAGACACAACGAAAAAGTTAACAAAATTCATGGACAATAATTACGTTGATTTACACTTATTATATAAAATATAAATATGGTTTCCCTTTTTAAAACTTGTATAACAGAACTGGTTTTTTATTTCTCACATCTGGAGTTTGCAACAGAAATCCCGTTCCTATTACTACTCCCCTGATGGAGATACACATATTGTTTCAGGTAAACTATCAACTGGCCCATGGTTTATTTCTTACCTTAAGGGTATTTCTTATCCTCTTATCTGGCAGACCCCTCACGTCACATATATCTTTACAATTTCTAAGCATGTGCTTAACGATCAGTATCGAATATGCCACACAACATATGCATTAAATATTGACTTCAATGAATATACAACTAAAAGTTCATATAAATACCTGTACTTTGTCAAATATTTTCCAGTTATTCATGCAGAAAGTGGGGTCACTTGCAAAGATCAACAAGGAAGATCTTCTGAAAATACTTTTATATATATTCCCGGCCCTGAACCCTGTACGCTGTGTGTATGTGATAATGGCAATCCAAAATGGTGTAAAGCGCTTGTTTGCAAGTATGCAGAGGTATTTCACGTGCCAAAATAATCGTATTGCTTTTTATGCAACATTAATTTGGTTTTACGTGATTGACATGACATTTTGCATTCAACAGGAATATTGCAAATCTTCCGGTGCTATCTGCTGTCAATACATTTGTATGGATGATGCAATGTTATCTATACCAAATGACAAAACAGACGGGATCGGTAGCAATACAACAGATGCTACCACAAATTATGACATAGGACTACGATCCGTTGCTAGTTTTGTGACAGCAGTGTTATCACTGAGTTTATTACTTTTTTTCATACATCGATTCCGCCAAAGGAAGATACGAGGTATTTTATCTCCCGAAATTTGTCTAACTATTTTTAATAATGTAGCAGAAATGTTGATTATTTTGTGAAAGTTTGTGTGGCAGGACGACAAAACAGACAGTTGGCAGAGGACCAAAGAAACTTAGGTAGTACGGGATATTTAGAACGAGATGGACTGTCACACGGTGTCCCTATGGATGACATTCCCTATGGATGTGGAGTTAGTTATCCGTTATGGAAACCACCTAGCAATTACTTTCCGCGCGGGGAAGCGCCGCCTCCGTACGAAGAGGCGGTAGCAGCGGCACGAGCAGAACAAGCACTTTTATCGATGAACCCGCAAGCACTTCCGCAGCTGAATTATCCAAACAGCTATTTGCCAAATACCAATAGCCATACAAGTATATCACTAGTAGGAAGCGCACAAAGTGGAATAAACAGCAATTCGACGACGATAGTTTGCGACGCCAGTATCGCGAATCAAAATGGCTTAATCTCAGCACCGAACAGACCAATATCAAATCCGAACATATATGCCAGTTATCGTCAAATGAATCAAAGTGAAATGGTACCTCCAAGTGTTAGCGTAGGAACTTCTACGACGAGTTTCACAATGGGAACAAATACTTATGAGAATTTGCCAGCACCCATTGGAATACCCAACTTTGTTAACCAGCATACCGATGTAGTTGTACAACCTAACTTACAGCCAGTATCCACTTTACCACCTATTTTACCGAAAAATTATCAAACGCATACCACTCTCCCTCGTCAAGCTGGAGCATTCACAATATCTGCGACTTTATCAAATTCAAACGTGGCTACTCATCGTACGATTCCTAAAATTTTAACGACACGTACTGGAGCGAAGCTTCAGGAAATTATAAATGATTGCACTCAGATAGAATTTCTACGACCCGCGATAACGACAGATGTTAATATAGTGAATATACCTTCGCCACATTCGACGCCACAAAACGTTAACGTAACAAAATTGGAAAATACAAATACGAATCCTAGCACATTCTATGAAGACATACAATTACAACCACCTCCTCCTCTGGCAACTTCTTCGGGATTACAACCTGCAAGGCAATTGCTAGATCAAAAAATTGTCAAGCCTCACGATTTCAAGGTATAGTATAGAATGACATTGTGATCGTGTTTCCGAGATAGAAACATGTACATTACAAGAAGCTCATGATTCTTTCATGCATTCCAGCCCCCGTTAAGCGTAGCCAATGAAATCAACGAGGAAGGAAGTTTTGAATCAGTAGCGTGTACTTGCAGTATGCAAGCTCTTCCTACTTTACATGACGATGCAGATGATTACAGAAGCGAATGTGAGAATTGTAAAAGCGCAACGGGCTCTCGTTACTACTTGGATAACGAGGATGAATTAGTTACTTCGCCGCATGAAACTATGACGTTACATAGAAGACCAGATGAAACGAGTTTGAATGCTACCCCACAGTATTATAGAACGTCACTCACACTGCCTATAAGTACCAGACAGAGAACAAGGTAATTATAAACATAATAATTCGGCTTTCTTTCTTTGTATTTCATTTAATTTTTCATTAATAATATTACACATTCTATTTGTATTAGTATTATCTATTCCTGTGCATTAGATTTTATCAATATTCTCTTACATTTAGGAGCACAGGCGTTCGCGAGAATTGGTTCAACCCTATGCCTCAAAGTTCCACAGAATCATCGGACGAAAATTAGTTACCAACACACTTTCCATGTGTCATATAATTATTATTAAATTTATGATACATTGCCATTGATTAAAAATCATTATTATTGCGGTTGAACAATGCTCATATTTTATTATGTTGCAGGCAACAGTATTATATTGTTGTCAATGGAATATTAGTAAGTATTCCAATGAAATGTTTTTCTGTTCTTTACTGTATGTAAACTATTAACATCTACTCATGACAATGTAAGACGAGAAAAATGAGTACTTTTTTGCTCCCATAGTTTTTCCTTACATGTTATTAAACTATGAGAGCAAAGTTTAGATACATATGTATTATTATATAACAACTTACGATTTCAAATAAGTTCAACTTAACAACACACATTAAAGAAAAAGTAACAGTATGACATCTTTAGACCGGTTGTAAACTGTGTTCGATGCATATCATTCGTTAAATAATAATCGAAAATGCAATTTTTATCACATTGTCTTGTGCAGTCGAATAACGAAACATTCTTACTGCGCAAGCAGTAAAACATTTCTACAGAAATTAAAGGACTTAAAATATAAAGACCGACTTGGTTCACACTATACGCACTGTTTCCAGTTTGGATTTATGTATATTACGTTTTGATTAAATATCATTTCAACGTTCGTCATTCGAAAAGATAAAGACAGTGAAAGTTGATAGGTAAGCAACTGAATCAAGAACAATTTGATAATTGATCAAAATACCTAATAATGTCGATATTAGATTATCCTTAATCTATGCTCTTGATTTTTTACAGTATTTTTATAATATGCACATAGAAATTTTTATTTTTCAACGTAATTGAGCATACTGAACCTGCACTTTCTGAACCTTCTTAGGCTTCGTCTTATAATATTTTTTTGCAAAAAAAATCAAAAGTGTATTCATCATAAAATATAAATACATATACAGTCTACACACAAATATGTTTTGAAATATTTTGAAGATACATATCATCGTTGAATACAAACGCAAATTATGAACTGAAAATATGTCTGCATAGAGCTTAGTTTGAAATGCATTTCTTTTACATTTCGTTAAATATAACATATATATATATACATATAAAAAATAGTACACAGAAGCAGATCTATCTGTCCGAATAGTGTGAATCAGTGTTACGACGTGCATATGTATGTTACGCATTTTTATGCATCATTTAAATGTTGGTCCTCTTCTCTTATATTTCTGTGTGCGTATACGAGCACGCGTGTGTATACGACTAACCGTGTGTTGTGCGCACATACAAGATACATAATATTCGTCTTGAAATCTACATAAATTAAAACTCAGGAAAATTTACTTTTTACTTTTGAAAAGAATCGTAAAATAACTGCTTCAAACTGTCATACAGGGTGAATCACGAATCGTGATCAGTAGAAATTAGTTTATTAGCATTAGCAGTTCATAGTGATAAAAACATTTGCGATCGAACTGCTAATGCTAATAAACTAATTTCTACTGATCACGATTCGTGATTCACCCTGTATATCGATTCTGACCGAAAAAGTTTCAAGAGAACAGAAAAAATTTCATAACTGTTATTAGATATAACAGTGTGACTTTCGGTTCTTTGAAACCGATATTATATCGGTCCTGTAGCTACATATATAATATCGACTCCGAAAAAGTAAAGCCAAAACCGATGTAAGTCAGGGGAGTCAAGACCTACCTAATAATAGTTATGGCATTTTTTCGGTTGTCGATAACTGTCTCAAGAACCGGATCTAATATCATAACTCTTTAATTCTTGCTTTTTACTTCCGATGTAAAGCACTTTTTCGTAGTCCATTTTTCTCCAAATTTTTAATGGAAATGTTGATCATAGTTAACCAGATTCTACATAAAGAAAAAGTTTACTTGTACATAACGCGAACACATCTACTAACTGATTTTAACACCCGAAATATTTTTAAGTCAATCAAATGAAATGCTCATTACTTCTAATTGGTGATTATAATGATTCTTAAATCATATTACAAGAAGAACCGAGATGAGAAAACACAATGCAAAATCATGGATTTTTCAGTAATTTTATTATTTGTCTATCAATAGAATTTAAGAACCAGACTGATCATAAGTATTCTATATTATTAAAGCATTTATTTGACTTAATATCAGAATCTCAATTGCGAGTTAAAATCCTACTTTGAAATATATTTATTTATTGTCTTGCATGCACGTTAAATTTTGTTACTATCCTCGCAAATATTTTATAAACTGATAAACTCTAGGATGAATAGTTATCAATATGTTACATACCAACGACAAAAATATTACACACATCATTTTATTACGATAGTGCATACGTACAAATTTTATTTTTTCTTACATTATTATTGTATATTTCTGTTAATGTCAGTTTAACAATTATTAGATATACTGTAACAAAAGTATAGTTATTTGTCTCAACTANGAAAACTCAACTAAAATATTGACATTACCGTTATGGTTATCGGAAAAAATGACATTATATAATTACAACAGAAAAGGACACTATCAGAAATTGTTTATAAATGTAATTTACGGATAAAAAGCGTCGTCATAGCGGGAATGAAATTAATAGAAATTACGTTTTAAAAAAACGGAAACAACTAAAATGGAGGCGATATAAAGATATATGTATGTATGCTTCACATTGTAAATGGAAGTTTGTGGAAATTGAAATCACTTCCTATGATAATCGACGCATTTCGTGTGTTCATTAAAACTGGACTATATTCCATTTTTGAAAAAAAATGTGTTCATTATATTATAATCTCTTTCTATATGCATACAATCGTTCGACGAAAAAAGGTACAAGCTGGACTTAAAATGAATTTGAAAAAAACGTTCAAGACTCTTGTAGTTCAAACGGTACAAAAATTTGAATTACTTCATTGTTCGTCTAGTGATGATCTAAAAATATTGTAATATATTTATCTGAGTAGTTTTAGTATAAGATCTTTATTGCACTTACTTAATGTAAGTGAAATATTATAAATTGATATAAGTTATACTAGAACATTTATGTCAGTAGACTATCATTTGATTGTAATAAATCAATACTTTACATAAACTATTTGTTTTTAGTTGTATGTATAATTTCACATGTTAAAGACATGGTAAGTGTTTGAAAATTCGGCAACCATATTGCCACCCCTATACGGGGTGTTCCAGAATGCACAAATTTCATGCTGAGGAGTCACAAGCAGGGATCTCAGAATTTATCCCGCACGGTTCGCTTCCCCTCTTTTTCGCCTGTATTTCGATCCCTACTACTATTCTCCTCATGCGCCTTCGTTGATCATGTCTAGCATACCCCCATCAAGTACCAGTCCCCACCATGGTCGCGTCGTCCCCACTTTCCAGCCGAGGACACCGAGGGATAAATTCCGAGATCCCTGGTCACAAGTTCCTCTTCTACTGTTTCCTTCAGTGGATACGTGCCACGCGCATGTGATTCGAAAATTCAGTAGCAGTTAGTACACGTAGCATTACCTAAGCAGAGTAAACCGTGCATTTTGCCATTTTACCCTCAGCACGGTTAGCATAAATCAAAAATAAATAATACGATTAGCGAAGAATTATCACATTGTACGCACACGTTGGTACGCATGCGTGTAAGTATTTGAACCTAACCTATATTACATCCGTTCGTTGAGATATATTTGGAATTCACGTATGGATAATACGTCCATATTTACGTACAATATTTAACGATCGATAAACTAATTAATCTATTTAAAATATTTTTGTGTTGTGAAAAATAAGAAGTGTTAAGAACGATAAGCTGTTTAACCTTGACAAGAAGAAAGATGTACAATTTATCGTTCAGTACATAGTGTCAATTAAGTTCTTTGAAGAATGCTTTCTTCATGTGTATTTTCCGAATAGAGATAAATGATAAGGCCTACAAGGCTATTACATAACTGGCAATTGATAAATAAAATGGAAAATTTCAATGGAGGAAAGAATATGAAAAATTGAAACAATAATCGTACAAATGAACGCAATAACGAGTTATTTAATGTGTAATCGGCTAATTTAATCAGACGCCATCTCGTGCTGCATAAAGGTATCATTTAAAATTGGTAGTTTTCTAGTTCTGTTTCGGCTTTCGCTTGAAACGCAATCGAATTACATGTACCAAGAATTGTGACGGATCACGATTCATCACGGTAGTCAGAAATAGGCAAGAGGAGCAAAGAGGACACGTAAAAGATGGCGGAAGCCGTTGTAGACGGGCCAATATCCCGATTTTTTTGTCACAAATGCAGTATCGAAATTGAACGTCTGTTACCTGTAAGTATGTTTCGCTATTTTTACTGTTAATAATCGTGAATCAAACGGGATCTTATTATTAATATTCTAAATTACTTCTTTCGTTTTGTCATTTCAGTAACACACACAAAATTAAATTTCCTCCTATTTCTTCATTCTCATGATACTAATTGATTAAATATTGCCATTTTTTATGATCCACTATTATGTAGTCATACTGAAATTATTCCAATATTGATATTGTTTTAACATGGTCGCTCATTTGCATGCTTTAAATACTTCTATGTTCATCTTTTTTTTATTACTTTTCATCTACATTTGTGAAATTTATTGCTATGGTAAACTCTTGATTATTTCTGTATTATACAAATTAATTGTAATGCTTATTGGTCGTTATCCCTTAAGTATACCACATTTTGAGTATAATGAATTATGGAATTCGTATTCTGTACGAATGCATTCATATATGTACAGATATAATCTTTTGTAGGATTACACATGTCCAAGATGTGCAAGTGGCTTTATAGAAGAATTAGAAAGTGACAGCAGTGATAGTGGTTCTGCGATGCATACTACTGGTGACTTCGATGATGTAAGTATATAACAATATGTATTTCATTCTTATCTCAATCATTTACTTGTTTATAGCTTTTGGAAAGTTATCGAGATGCTCCTCTGAGAGCAGAATATGAAATGGATTTTTCCAATTCATTTGAAACACCAAGTAACCGTAACAGAAACAATGGCCCTGCCGGTAATAGAAGACACCGTCAATGTATACGTCATTCTCAAGATACACGCCGTACCAATAAGTAAGTTCAGAGACATATTATTTGAACTTTTTAATTTTGCTTATAATTGTTCTATTTTTTTTTAAATATACATAAGATATACGCATGCACTGAATCGAATGATTATTTTTCTATTAATTAGCAGTCGTGGAAGACAAGATATGGGGCCTATATCTGTAGAAAATTTCATACAAGATTTCTTATTTAATCTCTCGGAAGGCGTAGCTCAAGCTGCACAACTACCTGTGTATGTATTAATCTCTGTTTCATACTAAGTTTTACTGTCCTTGGCGTATATATAAACAGCTTTATATTTATTAGATATCCTCGACAATAAATTCCTTTTGTTTGTTTACATTTTATAAGTTTCTCTTCATCTGAATATTGTGTGTGAATTTCTCAAGCATTTTGGGATATCTAATATATTCTTTAAAGCTATACTAAGTACATTTTTTTCAAGCATAAATATGAAAATTAGATTTCATATAAAACTGTGTGTTTTAGTGTATGTTACACATGTAAAGTATTATCCTGAGTGAATTGAAAAAGCAATCTATTAGTTTTAATTCATTTGCATGTAAAACTTTCTTAATTGCGATACAAAACAGGATTTTCTGCTAATTAATTGAGAATAGATGTGTTTCTTCATTCAAGTGAAACGCTATTTTGTATGATGGTGATATTAATCTTTTTGCTTATCCAGAAGTCAGTTATTGAGTATATTTTCTTTTCAGAAACACAGTATTTTTTTAATATGCACTTTTTACATGCTTATTACTCTAATAATAATGAACTTAATACTAGGAAATATATCTTTTGCAAATCTGTACGAATGCATTCATATATGTACAGATATAATCTTTTGTAGGATTACACATGTCCAAGATGTGCAAGTGGCTTTATAGAAGAATTAGAAAGTGACAGCAGTGATAGTGGTTCTGCGATGCATACTACTGGTGACTTCGATGATGTAAGTATATAACAATATGTATTTCATTCTTATCTCAATCATTTACTTGTTTATAGCTTTTGGAAAGTTATCGAGATGCTCCTCTGAGAGCAGAATATGAAATGGATTTTTCCAATTCATTTGAAACACCAAGTAACCGTAACAGAAACAATGGCCCTGCCGGTAATAGAAGACACCGTCAATGTATACGTCATTCTCAAGATACACGCCGTACCAATAAGTAAGTTCAGAGACATATTATTTGAACTTTTTAATTTTGCTTATAATTGTTCTATTTTTTTTTAAATATACATAAGATATACGCATGCACTGAATCGAATGATTATTTTTCTATTAATTAGCAGTCGTGGAAGACAAGATATGGGGCCTATATCTGTAGAAAATTTCATACAAGATTTCTTATTTAATCTCTCGGAAGGCGTAGCTCAAGCTGCACAACTACCTGTGTATGTATTAATCTCTGTTTCATACTAAGTTTTACTGTCCTTGGCGTATATATAAACAGCTTTATATTTATTAGATATCCTCGACAATAAATTCCTTTTGTTTGTTTACATTTTATAAGTTTCTCTTCATCTGAATATTGTGTGTGAATTTCTCAAGCATTTTGGGATATCTAATATATTCTTTAAAGCTATACTAAGTACATTTTTTTCAAGCATAAATATGAAAATTAGATTTCATATAAAACTGTGTGTTTTAGTGTATGTTACACATGTAAAGTATTATCCTGAGTGAATTGAAAAAGCAATCTATTAGTTTTAATTCATTTGCATGTAAAACTTTCTTAATTGCGATACAAAACAGGATTTTCTGCTAATTAATTGAGAATAGATGTGTTTCTTCATTCAAGTGAAACGCTATTTTGTATGATGGTGATATTAATCTTTTTGCTTATCCAGAAGTCAGTTATTGAGTATATTTTCTTTTCAGAAACACAGTATTTTTTTAATATGCACTTTTTACATGCTTATTACTCTAATAATAATGAACTTAATACTAGGAAATATATCTTTTGCAAAATGTATAAATGTATAAATGTCGATGCCTCCTACATATTTATACAAACATCGTATTTCGACGAATCTAAGCAATATAATCGTATTTCATGGATAATTTGGCATGATTGTAACTCGAATGCAAGGGCATTGTACTTGACCGCGGCGATTTTAAGTCGAACATCGGTGCAACAACATTGTATTTCAGCAGAGCATCTGACACGCTTTGAATTACAATTGTGTAGAATTATTCGTAAAGTACTATTATATTGCATAGATCCGTTGAGATACAGTCTTATGAATACGTGGCGTCGATATATAGGGAGCTCGAGAAAGTCTGAATCAAACTTACAATACCACATGTTAATGAAAACAAATGCGTAGAGAAAGCTCATATAAACTTATGTCCGAAAATGCTTTATTGAAAAGTTACAAGCATATGAATGTATTAACTGTTTTGATAGTTATAATAAGTGATCAAAATTTCTATTTTCTGCAAATATACGAGCATCGATAATATATATCGCATAATTCAGGAAATATGTTGTCCATTTTAATCGCATTACATTAGAATAATAAAATTATAAGATGGAAAGTCAAGGAAGATTAAAGAACGAAAGAGAAATACATTTCTGTAGAGAAGGTAGCGTGGCAAAAGGAGTCGCTACGATCCAAGATCTTAAGAACAATTTTTCTAGAAATTTTCAACCGCTTATAACTTTTTATTGAAACATAAGTTTATATGAACTCTTCTTATGTATTTGACATCTTTAACATTCCGTATCGTAAGTTTAGTCCTTTCTTGACCTCTCCAGACATCCTGTATACATTACCTCTGTACATATAGCTACAAGATACTTAGCATGCGAACATGTGAAAGCATTTAATTATATGTATACATACATACACTACATGCATGTGCATATGCACGTTGGTTTATTATTTATTTACCCATAATATATGTATATTCATTATTTTAAATTATATAAGTACAAGTAGAGATATCTTAATTGAATTATTGATGTTATTACTGTGATAGCATTTATATTCTACTGTAATCCTGATTTGTGTTCTGTCAAGTTCTCGAAAAGGAATTAAAAATTTGTATGCGTGTGTAATAATAGTATTTAAAGCGTTTGAACAAAATATAATGTCATAAATGTAAAGGAGTATTCCCACTAACGGCAGTTTGACGGCACGGCAAGCAACCGGCGTATTTTGTAGGAATTTAAAACGCTGTCGGAACATGAAACTCAGTGCCGTGATTAGAAATGCAAGATTTCTGCGGAATGAGTAACCAAGTGTGCGAAACATATCGTCTCAGGTTTATGTCCAATTGTTAGTCAAAGCAGCGATTCGTCGACTTTATTAATAAGCCGTGGACTACAAATGACCTAACCGCTTACCGTTGTGCGCAGAATATATGAAATACAACAATATACATAGAGAGGATGAATAATTTTATCTATAAGCAACTTATCTTTAGAGCAGTTAATACTTTGATTAGTTTTAACTTATGTAAACTATATGCTATGCATGTCGAAATTTTAATTCTACTGTTAGGTATTTAAAAAATATTCTAAAGTTAGCTCTTAATAAAGTACACAGAGCGTTCGTATACAACGAACGCTCAGAAACAAAGGATATCGAAGAAGCCCCACCCCCTATTCCTTCAAAACAATGCGAATGGCTACCATACACCTATGCTCTGACCTACGATGATTCACCGAGGGTCAAACTTCGAGGAACCCCTTCGATGGATCGGGTTGCCATACTGGAAAATAAATAAAACAGGATGATAAACTTCTTGATATAGTGAATAATGAGCGAGGGTAGTATTATAAATGTTTAGATAGTATTAGCAATAGTATCGTTATTCTTTTAAATGCTTCCATACTTACTACCGCTATTGTACTAAGTTCGATTTACATTTTTTAAATAACTAACAAAACTATGCATCGAATTTTGACATGTATGTTGTCCACGTCAGTTAAAATTATTTAAACTATTAAGTGCTATGAAGAAGTAGTTACTTAGGGATAAAATTGTTCATCCTCACTATGTACAGGTCATATTTCATACATTCTGCGCACAGCGGTAAGCGGTCAGGCCATTCGTAGCCCACGGGTTACGAATGAAGTCCATTGAACCTAAACAGTAGGGGATCTACTATAGCCTACTTGTTCCGCAGAAATTTCCGAATCCGACCGAATCGTCCAAGTTTTACATACTTTTTCCTATAACTCGCATTTCCAACTACGGCACGGAATTTCATATCCTCGTCACTTTTCAAACTTAAAAAAATTTCGCTGATCGGCTGCCGTGCTGTCTGACTGCCGTTAGTGAAAATACTATACTCCTTAAACGTCTTTCCATTCTTCATCATTGTCGCAGAAAACTAACTGATCAAAAGTCAGTGTGCTTCCTAATGAATGAAATTGTAACGTTGGCAATTATACAATTCATAAACATATATTTAAACATAAAATATAAATGTTTCTATAGGGAGTCACTAAAAAGCTTATTCACCCAGGATAAAAGTCATAATTGTTTTACTCGATATTTGGTATTACTAAAATAAAGCACAATAATGTAGATTCAATATTAGACTGTTCTTGGGAAATCCCGGAGATTATGTTTGGGGTCAAGATGGCTTAGACGCGATCGTAACACAATTATTAAATCAAATGGATGGAACTGGACCGCCACCTTTGCCACGGAAACAAATCGATGAAATACCAACTATAACTGTGGGTGAATTACATGTTGGTGAGTGCGTAATGAGTGAAAAATGTAATATTTATAGATTAAAAGTTACATTTGATAAATATCACATTATATTTCACAGACAGTAAACTTCAATGTTCCGTATGTTGGGAAGACTTCAAACTTTCTGAACCAGTTAAACAACTTCCTTGTCTGCACTTGTACCACGCACCGTGCATTGTACCATGGTTAGAATTGGTGAGTTATAGTTTTTAAAATTAATTCCTAGCGATATTTTATACTCTCCATTTCTTTTTGTTGCAGCATGGTACTTGTCCTATTTGTAGACAACACTTGGGAGATCAGAATACAGAAGCACATCAGGATAGCGTAGGACGTAGCTTAGTTGCCCTTTTATCTCATGCGTAAACGACTACTTATTTTTATATATTTCTTACTTTACAAAGTAGAAAAATACGTAATAACGTATTTCTTCAATTTCAGGGCAGACTATGGTAGAACGTCGGCTTCATCATCGAGTGAATACAACTCCAGTAGTAACTCATCGAGTGAGATTTGAGATTGATTGCCCTATCTTAATATTTTCTCTACCCAGCAGAACACATAAATATACGTACACAACATCACGCGTCTATATATATTTTTCACTTTCTGTTTGTTTAAATTTATTTTCCGACACTGATCATGTGGGCTCTTATATGATATCTTGGTAGATATTATATCTTGACACTAATATAAATTTCAAGCTTTATACTTTAATCAACAGTGTAATGTAAATGATTAAAAAAAAAAAGAAAAAAATACTGTAGTATCAAATTGCAAATTGGATGTGTTGATTTACAGAAATTACAGTGAGGTATAATCATTTAAAAGTAAAAAGAAGACGTGCGCATATGAAGTTAAAATAATCCTCGTTGCTATACTTACGTATATGTTTGTATGTATGTGTGTATTGTACAATTTATACATACATGCACACGTATATGTTCTATCTTATAACTTACACGAAGTTTAATAAGTTCATTAAATATGCAATTTATCAAGAGTGACAGAATTCTCTGTGTCGCATATGCGTGAAAAAAGATGTGTTTCTTTATAACGATGTTTCATAAATTGAACGTAACATAACAATATACATGTAGAGAAAAGAAGAAACACCGTACTATAGTTTAAGCTTAAGAAATGTATTACACGTAAGAATAATGAAGCTAATGTTGATGATTTTAATTTTATCCCCTTTGAGCAAAAACTGGTGTATAATTATTACGGCATGGAAGTACCGTAAGATATTTTTCCATTCACGTTGTTTTGCATTTTGATGCTATGTGGAAGTTTTTAGCAGATACTTTAAAATTGGCTTAAAATGGAATCATTAACATTTTGGCTAATTCTCTTTGCATCATGTTCGCATCAGTATCATTTCATAAATTGTTATTTTGAGTCATTAATAAATATTTTATTCAGTTGAAGCTGGTGCATAAAGTACATAAAAGTGTATGCAAAAAACTGTAGACAAAAATAGAAAAGTAATAAGTAATATTTGTATATTTTTGTTTGAAATACTATACATATATTTAAGTTTGTTGACATATTACCATATTGTTTTATATCATTCACAACACTTTTGATTATATCATTCAAATATAAGTATGCTAAAAGTCTTAATCATAATATACGGCTCATCTTTAAATTACGACCGATTTAGTACGAACGCAAAGTCGTTATATCGATTGTTTATCTCCACAGTTGACAAAAAATTGGAATATCTTAGATAAATAAATATAGTAGATTATTGTTGGATAGCATTTAGATACGTTACATATTACATTTGACTTTATAGGTTTTAATATTATACATACCCAAGTCAGGTTGCAATTTCCTGTAATATATTAATACTCAAACTTGCCTTCGGGACGCTACCGCGTCCCTTCATCCACATATAGATAATATAACATATACACATTTCTTGAATTTGCCATATTATTATATAGTGTGTACAAAAATATACTTGTTGGATTCGTAAGGTTTAATTTGTTTTTACAAAACACTGAATAAAACGTGCCATGCTGATTCTTCATAAGCGATTTTAAATATAACGAATCGTAAAGAAACAAAAGAAACTGTATCAAATTTAGGTAATTAAATATTAATTTGCTGGAAGAATATAAAACGACTTTTGTTTGAAAAAATTAAGCGATGTTTAACAAATAGCAGAAATAGTGAGTGATGGGAAGGTAGAATACCATATCCAGAAAACCAAGTTTTCTACATGTTGGACAGAAGCTTGCCCAGGCCGCGTGTCGTCCTCGTCGCCGCTTGTACTATATGTTTTCACTAGTTCTCGTTTTGCCGCTGACACCATCGCGATGAATGTGCGTCTCATAGTCTCATGTGTTTCGAATGTTTCCAATCCTTCTTATTCTTAGCGGCGGTCTCATTTCGACGGTAGAGTCGTTGTACGTGCGCGGAATATGGCGGATCGTCTCACGCAATTGCAAGACACTATAAATCAGGTAACCCCGTCCCTTCGTTCTTGTTGCTGTTGTTCTCGGTTCGTGTTGTGCGTGTGGGTGTGTGTGTGTGTGTGTGGTCCTTGATTTCCGAATCGATTCTGTCTTCCGTTCCAGCAAGCCGAACATTTTTGTAACAGCGTAGGTATTTTGCAACAATATTCCACGCCGAGTAAATTTCCCGGTTTCGACCGCGTGGGAACGCCGCAACCACATCAACCTCAGGAAGGTACGTGCTGTTTTTGAGTCTTTTCGGGATCGGTCTTCCACCACCGTCTAATTGGTCACAGGACAGTGACGGCGGTGACGGATGCGTCTTGTTCGGCGCGTCGCGTCGTCTGCCTCCCAAGTGGAAGGACGGCGGCGGCATCGGCAGTATTTTTCTATGTGTTCGTATTTGTTGGTGCGTTTTAGATTATGCGGCACTGTTTGCGACGCTCATAGCGAGATGCGCCAAGGATATCGACACCCTTATAGAAAGTTTGCCGAGTGAAGAATCTTCGCAGGAGTTGCAAGTCGCGAGCCTTGGCCGCCTCGAGCAAGAGAATCGAGAAGCCGGCGAACGATTGGAAGAAGTGGTCCGGCAGGGAGAGTCTCTATTGCAAAGGATTCAAGCCGCTCTCCAAGACATCGCTCAGAGTCAACTGGACATGCAGGATCCCGCCGCGTCTGCGATTGATGTTCGTCTTAACGTTGACGCGACGATGACCGCGGCCGCCGCCGTGACGCTCGTCAAACGAGAGAACGTTCAATCGGTGGTGAACAATACCGTGTCTTCGAACGGTACGCAACATCGACTGTCGTCGACGGCGGCAGATCCTTCGCTCGGTTCTGTCGATCAATGACCACCCTGACCATCTCTTTCATGGCGACTCGATTGTGATTCGTTCCGAGTGACGAGTGCGAGATATTTTTTCGTACGGGTAAGTGTAAGAAATAACGTAAGCGTTCGGGTAGAGGAACGATGGTGACGACGTGTCGACTCGATACGACTCGCGGTCGTATCGATGAGGTGCGGAAAGACGGGGCTAATCGCGTTGCGACATGAACGCGGTCGAGTCGATCGCGCGACGCTCTTTATTCGATTACTTTTTCAAAAGATTTATAAACGTTTCTCTTGGTATACATATTTTACCGGTCGATTTCATCTTTCTCTTTCCTTCCGCTTGTTGAGCCAGTAGTTTCATTCTCCTGGTAACGTCACCGCCGTACTGAAATTGTATTGTTCGCCGGTTATTGATCTTGTCCAGTTGTTGCTTAGGAAGAACATTGATCGGGAGGGTTTTGTATAAAATGTACGGATATTCACGATCCGAGAATTTTACTTTACCAGTTTCGCGGTCACGTCCTTTTTGTACGGTTTCAAGGTTTCTCTTGCTAAGACTTTTCCACCGACCGTAGCCTGTATCGCTATTTCGAATAATTGACGCGGAAGAATATCCACTAGTTTTTCGCATATGTGTCTGGCCGTTGTACGGACCTTGCTCACGTGGACGATGGTACCGAATTCTTCTACCGTCGTACCGTTCAAGACGATACTTAGCTGGAAGAAAATAATTTCTAGTATAAAATTTAAATCTATTTAAATACTATAGTGGAATTTTAATTCTATTTAAATTTCTATTCTACGGGGTGTTTGAAAAAGTTGGCGCCAAAAGTATACTATGTGTTTCCTAGGTCGAATGGGCATAAGTTGTACTCTTTTCGTCTCTCTGACCTCGTCTGGAACGCGTTGTATAATTTTGGCACCGACCCTTTCGGACACCATGTACTTCGGACACCTCGGACATATGGCATGATTATTATGTTCAAAGGTATTGCGAAACGTTGCGTTGTTACCAGCGGTACTGCTGCTGCTGCTGCTGCTGCTACTTCTATTCCTACATCTACTACTATCCTTACTGCGAGTACTGTTGCTACGCTACCTTTACGATTTTCGTTGGCTCGTAACCGTGATCCTCGTAATCGAACGTGCCGTATCCCGAGGTCAGACGTTTTAGCGTATCGTGAAAATCTATGATAACTTCGGACAACGGTAATAGATATTGAAACATCGTTCTTCCGTAACCTCCGTCTTTTGCCGAACGTTGCTCTCCCCGCTTTTCAAGGCACAGTTTCATTATAGTGCCCACGCATTCGCCTGGCGAGATGATCGAAAGTTGTTGTTCGATCGGACACGGTTAATTACATGTTATTATTATTATTATTATTATTATTATTAGTAGTAGTAGTAGTAGTAGTAGTATTGTTGTTACTGTTGTTATTATTTTTGTTCGCTCGCGAATCATTGTGAACTGAATGATAAACGGAGAGAGAGAGAGAGAGAGAGAGAGAGAGAGAGAGAGAGAAATATATACTTGGCGTGATGATCGTTCCTAGCACCATGGGCTCGTAAAATTCCTCTACGATTTGTATGTCGGGAAACTCGGCGGGGTTATTGAACGAGATCACGTCGCCTCCGTGTCTTTTCACGTTTTTCTTGCCCGTGATTTTCGCTTTATAAGTCACACTGGGCGTAGTAACGATGGAAAGCGCACCGTATTCTTGTTCGAGGCGTTGCATGAACACTTCCATGTGCAGTATACCTAAGAATCCGATCCTCCATCCCTGCCCGAGAGCTACGCTGAAACGAAACGACGACGCTCGCGTGTATTCACCGCGAGCTGTATATATGTGTGTGCGTGTGTGTGTTGAACAGAGCCGCCGAAGGACCCGGGGTAATGTATCCGCTGGCTGAGCAACCTGTGACCGGTATACCTGGTTTCTAACGAGACCGAAACGCTGCTGTCGTTCAGAGTTAACTTCTCGATGGCCGCACGGACGCGTTCGAAGTCGGATTTATCGATGGGATAGACACCTGAGAAGACCATCGGCTTCGGCGACGTGAACGTTGACAAAGGTTCGGCGATGGAATCTTTCGTGTGCAACGTGTCTCCGATGAATGCTTCCTTCGAGGATCTCATGTTGCACGAGATGCATCCTATTTGGCCCGCGAATCTGCGACACGACGACGCGCGAACTGAGTCGAATGGTATACCTACCTACTTACCCTGACCTATTCGCGACCAGCGACGAAAACGGTGATATTTACAACGTGTTTATGTCTTGTTCGGCGACCGGTCTCAGCAATGAAACATTCTTCACTTCGTAACGTTTCCCGTTGTTATACGCCGAAGCGACGTACTGCCTTCGAGACAGAGATCCGTCTTTCACGTATATCAATAAAATTGCTCCTTTGTACTTGTCGTACCAGATATCGAATACCAGTGCTCTGAACGGTTTGTCCCTGTACGCGTCCGGCGACGGAATTCTTTCGACGATCGCGTCCAACAGTTTCGGTACTCCCGTACCGAATTTCGCGGATACTCTCAAAATGGTTTCTTCCTTTATACCGAACAATGTTTCCAACTGATTCGCCACTCTTTCAGGATTCGCGTTCTTCAAGTCGATCTTGTTTATTACCGGTATCACGACTAGATCGTGCTTGACAGCCAGGTAAAAATTAGCTACCGTTTGAGCCTGTACACCGTCGTTCGCGTCTACTACCAATATCACCCCTTGACAAGGAGCCAATGAACGGTGTACTTCAGCGGAGAAGTCTACGTGACCGGGTGTATCTATCAAGTTGAGGAGATACTTTCCGCTGCTGCTGCTACTTCCCCTGTACGTGTAATCGAGTGATGCTGTCTGCGCTTTCACCGTGATTCCACGTTCTCTTTCTACCTGTAATTTGTCTAATATCTGTTTCCTAGAGTCCCTCTTTATCGCGCCTGTCAGTTCCAACAATCTGTCGGCGAGGGTACTTTTCCCATGATCAACATGCGCTATTATACTGAAATTACGAATATTTTCTAACGGTATCTCGTACTCTTTTTGCACCTCCACTTCGGATCGCGCGGAATAGAATTTATCGACTACACCGGCGAAAGGTTGCCTGTAACAATAATGGAACGATCTAATCTCAGTGTTCTTCGTACATATGAGCGACCGATCGATCGACGATACTGACCTTACGAATTTTTTCAATAGAGCGTGATCGTCTCTTGTACGGAAACGCGTGCGACGAATAAATTTGTTTATTTGCATGATTAGATTCACTGATTACTTCGGCCAGGCGTCGTGTCGATCTCGTATGCGATGCGAGACTTCTGCCTGTCCTGTATCGATCCTCGGTACTGTTACGAGTCGGGCATCGGCCAGGTATGTACTGTAAGAAGATATTGCGTACTTATATCAGACCTGTACTACTTTCCATTCTTCCGTTTCGTTCCGTGCGTGATACGCGTCCACTCTCGAGTCGTCGTAGTCGTAACACACCGGTTATGGTTGGCGAGTGCCGACGTGCCGAGTCTGCTCAGTCCAGGGATGCCAGAATGTAGGATTTCTCCTCTTCTGGAGCTCTCCCCACTTACGTCTACTACTGGACATGCGCCTACTGGCCTGTCGGAACATGATGAACGCTTCGCTTGCTTTTCGCTTTGTGCTTGACTTGGCTATTTGGCTTGGCGTTGCGGCGTCGTGCGTCGTATCTTCGCGCCACAAAGGAAGCCTTCCCCTGCCATCGAGCTTCAACTTCTTTGTGCAAGGCGCATGATCATGGGTAACGTAAGTGGGGGCAGAAAAAAGTAGTGGGGGACAACTCGGGAAGAGGAGAAATCCTGCATTCTGGCATCCCTGCTCGTGACTGGTTGTGACATCGCGGGGAACGGAACCGGTACTATTGGGTTTCGCCCTGCTAACTTGCGATCGGTAAATAGGATCGTCTTTTTCTGATCGTCGGTACGCGTTGATTTAGGAAGATCGATCCGATCCGATCATTTAGAACGAATCGAACCGAATTTAACGTGACGATCTGCCCTTTGGACGCATGTTAAAAAAAGGTTCGAGGTGAAACCCTGTTGTTTTTACGTGACCGACACACACGACCGACGCTGCTGTGTACCGTAAGCGAGAGGAGTCCGTGCTTTGCTGTGTCTGGAGTCTGTACCCCTTTGATTCTTACTGTTCCGGTTCGTGTTGTTGTGTTGTGCGTTGTACGGAGTGCCAGCCAGGCCAATAGATATCGCCGCGTAACGAACGATCCGAACTGAACGAGTCGAGTCAGTCGAGTGACGACGAGTAACGAACGGATGAGTCGATGAGTGGCGAATGACGAGTGACTCGCGACGATTGCTCATAATCATTTGCATTGAGTATCGCACCCTGTGATCTGTGATGAGATTTGTGTGAGTGTCGCACGCGGTAAGCATTTTCTCGAGGACGACCGTATTTAGAACCATCGTGTTGTACCACGTACGATTCGTTATTTTCACGCGCCCACACGATCGTCGACGATCGCGGAAACGGTGTATGCGTTTCGTTCGACGTGACGTGATACGATTCGTCTTCTATTCGCCTCCGCCGCCGCCGCCGTCGTCGTCGTCGTCGTTGTCGTTCTCGATGTATTACGCTGCTGCTGGACCATTTTCGTCCGTTTCGTATCGCGCTTCTTAGACTATCCAGTTGTGAACTCGTCTCTCGTCTCTCTCTCTCTCTCTCTCCGTAAGCGTAATTAGAGATTCTCACGCGTCCACCGCTTCGATGTCGAGTGTGTTTCTTACGTTCGTAGAATTTGGTTTACGTCGTATGCTGCGATGACTTGGTTATCGACTTTTTCCGACGGCATACACGCGCGATGACGGTATAGGAGGTATAGGACGGAAGGTTAGATCGATGCCCCGTTCATTGTTGCGTGTGGACGCGTAGACGTGAACGAATGCTACTTCTTTCCTATAATCCCGAGCGTAGTAAAGACTTTCACTGCGAGATCGTCGCGCGATAACCGTCGTTCCACCGAGGATTCTACGAAAATCAGTCTCTGTGTATCCTCGGATTTTACTCGTGACGAGAAGGTTCCCTCTGTTCCCCGTCCCCGTCTCCGAATAGAGTCGTCGGAATTTGCATCTTCGCCGTTCTGTTGCTTGTAGGTGATGCCGTTGCACTGCGAATGAGATAAAACGTTTCGTTCGACGAACCGCCGCGTGGAAGAGGTAAGGGGATAGAGAAATCGGCACCGACGGGAGACCGTGAACGATCGCGAGGACGATGGACGTTGATCCGCCACCACCGCCGCAATTCGCTTCTAAGGACGATGAGATTCGGTATTGGATGGAACTTGCTCGTCAGATAAACAGAAGGTAGAGTATTTTTGCTGTTTTCGGTTCTCAATCTTACGAATTGTCACAGAGCCCGATCTCAGAGCTACCGAGATAAATCTCATCTGTGTGCGTGTGTGTGTGTGTGTATGGTCCACAGAAAAGAAGACTTGGAGAGAGAATTGGAAGAATTTCAAGAAAACTCGCAATTGTTGGAGAAGGAACTGGAAGCATCTTTGGAGCAAGCGGAAAAGACTAACAGAGAACTTCGGCAACGGAACACGAGACTAGCCACGGAGGTGGAACAATTAAGGACAAGACTGGATCAACAGAGCACCGACTGCGCCGTATTTCAAGGGAAGGCTCAAGATTTACAGGCCAGACACGATCATTTACTCAAATACATACGGGAATTGGAACAGAAGAACGATGATTTGGAAAGGGCTCACAGGTATTCTCGATCGATGTTCTTGCTCCGTTTCACGGTCGTTCGGTCTGTTGTTGCTGGTCGACTCTCTCTGCATGCTTCAAATCCTATATTAATTGGATCCGATTTCCATTTGCAGAATAAACAGGGTGACTGAAGAAGAGATAGAAGCCAAACTTAACTCCGCCATTGAAAAGAATGCTCTGTTAGAATCGGAACTTGACGAGAAAGAGGCACTGAAAGTTATAGTACAGAGGTTAATGGACGAGATCAGAGGTGCTGAGACCGATTTGAATCCTCATTCCTTGCGACGTAGAGCTATTGTCCGCGTGTGAACACGCGCGCGCGCGAAATGATTTTGATCGTGTCGACTCTGTTTCTTTCAGACTTGAAACAGGAGATCCAAGTTCAAGAAAGGCATCAACCGGATAATGATAAATTGGCCGACCGAGTTCGAAATCACGTTGACAGTAACAAACTGCAAGTAGAATTGGAAACGACGCACCCGATTCCACCCGGTAGCCCGGTAGCGGCGATAGTATCGCAGTCGATATCGCCTCCGACGAATAATACGACGTCGTCGCCATTAAAAAGTAAGATCCACAATACTCTTCGTAAAACTAAACGCATATTCTGCTTTGGACGACCTTGACCCGGACCGATCAAACGATTGACACGGGACGGTCAGCGAGAATGATACTTGTGTGCCTAACAACGAATGACGGAACGACGACGACGACGACAACGACGATTACGGACTGCGAGCGGATGTAAAACAGATTTTTCTTTCCCTCGAGCTACGACGTATACGTAACACGCACGCACGCGTTCCTATTACCTCGTCCGATCAGATCCGATTGCTCCAGACTCTTTTTTCTTATGCGTTTAAACGACTATTTTATATTCCATTCGATTTGAATCGAATTTGGAACATCCGGTCTAACATTTATGCATATCTTTTATCAAGCTCGTTAACGATATTTCGTACACGCTGTCACGCTAATTTTACTCTCTCTCTACATCTCTTTCTCTCTCTCTCTCTCTCTCTCTCTCTGTACTACGATACGATTAAATATGATCAAAATGTTGTTCTGTCGATGAAATAAAAGATTATTTTGACAAACTTGTTATTTGTTGTCTTAGTTTCTATAAACGTTTTATACTTTCGACTGACTGTGTGTGCGCGCGACCAAATCTTCGCTTTTCTTTGCCAACGCGAGATCTCCATAGATTGTGTCGACGCTAGTAGTAACTTTTTCTACTTTTCTCTGTTTGCTTCGCCGCAGTTGGAAACAGAGTTGTCGGAGGTGTGACCGGAAATGGGAACAACAACCATAACAACAACCAGAACAACAATAATAATAACCAGGTGAACCCACCTATGGCGCCGTGTACAAGAATATTAGCCATGAACATGATCGGCGATCTGATGAGAAAAGTTGGCGTAAGTATCGACGACGACAGTGTCCCATCCAAATTGATCGAATCGGATCCGAAATGGCTTCGAGTGCATGGCTTGTATGTATCTATCCCTCGAGTCGAAATCAACGTGGTCGTCGTAAATCGTATAGAATTTGCCACTGGCAACTGTCGAAATTATGTACGTATTGTTCCGAGATCTGAGACGATGACAACCACTGCGTTCGTTTCGCATTTTTACTTACGCACGTATGTTTTCATAAGTACTGTACTTTACTCGATGAGTACCGAGCCGCCGCTACCACCGCCGCTCGATTCGGACAGGTAGTACTTGCTTCACGTAGCTGGTATATTTGGTAGCTTGAGAGATGGGTCTGCATGGACTGTAGGAGGGTAAAATGCTCTTGTGGGAAAAATACATTTTCCACCACCGCTCCACGTCCACCGATTTATCGTCCGTCCAGATGCACCCATGTACCACCAACACCACCACTAGTTGTATACGGCAACGACGTAGATCAACCAATTGCTGATCCGAGTGCTGATCAGTTTTCGTACAGATCTTTCAGGTTTTTTCGTTTATTTTGTTTCGCATTCCCGGATTATCATTAATGCTCTTCATAGTTCGCCTAAACGAATTCCCCGACGATTCCTTGTTCCTTCCCCCCGCTTGATTCGCACGCGATTTATTCGTTGAACTTGCACCTAGTAGCCTAGCCAAAGAATCTGTCTGCGTACATATATGTTTAGAGAAAATGAAGATATACGCCGTGTCCCGACTACCGCCGTTTAATAATGCTTTTTCTCACGCACACAGGCCTTGGAGAACAAGTTGAACACGTGTCAAAATCCGTCTCGAGAGGATCAAGCAGTCCGTGATCTCTACAGGTAACGTTAGAGATAACAAATTCTAACTCCCCGATAAGTCACCTTTCATTCTCTCTCTCTCTCTCTCTCTCTCTCTCTCTCTCTCTCTCTCTCTTTGTACGGTAACGCACCGCGTACGTAAATGTAGTGGAACGACGACGACGACGACCGAGTATCATGTATCGAGAATGATATCAGAAAGAATTTAAATTAACTTGATCCGTGTCAGATTATCGTCGGTCGAAAAAATTTTTCTCAATAGAATTTCGAATCTCTGTTCTGTGCGATGGAGGGACTCGTCGCAATAACATCGTTCGTTGTGCAGATACATGATAAGCTCTCAAGCCTTAAACGCGTCTTGTACTTATTACTATTTTTTTATGTACGTCCTCGTTCGAGTAGTAAGTAGCGCTAACTTAGATGTCAATGGTTAATCAAGCTTTTCCAGTCTTTTAGCTTTCTCTCTCTCTCCTCCACCCCCGCTCCTCTGTGTGTGTGCGTGTGTGTTTTAATTTAAACGAAAGTTCGAAGCACTGAAGACTGCTCGCTGTAGCTCATTTTATTGCTTGCGCGTTACTAAGTAAAAGCAGCGAAGCATCTTGATCCCGTTTGTTTGTACGTGTTTCAATTTATGCGGTTGGCTAAAGATAACTGGTGTTATCCGATCGAAATTAATTAATATCGACGATAATGCTCCCATAGATTGAATTACTTAGCTTCTGTCGATTCCCCCACTGTTAGCCTAAGTAGTCTCCGCTCATCGCTTAATTTCTCGTTCGTCGTCGTATCTTCGAATTAAATGTATATTGTATACGATATGGTTACACGATCGACTCGAGCTGTTCTCTCCATGTGATTTAAGAAGTACAACATACTGTTTTTTATATATATATATATATATATATTTATATATTTTACCAAGATCTTGATCGAAATTCTAGAAGGAAGAACATCCGCGTCTTTTTATTTTTTACGGATGAAAATGCTGAAATGTATGAATGTGTATGAAAATTTGCTGTGTACGGAAACATTACCTGTCTCGTTCGAACTGTGCATTAACATCTAATAATTGGCAAGATGTTTCACATCGTGTAAATAAGATACGTTTTGTGAAACGAAACGGAAGTTCGAAGAAGTCACGAATCGTCGAAATCTTTTTATTAATAGTTATTCTTCATGCATGCACGTTGTATTTAGGCACGACCCATAAACGCGTACAGCATTTCTCAATCGTCCACGATGTGTGTGCACGCGCATTTGTGGTATATTCCTGTCACTGTCCGCCCCCGCGTCGTCGGTTCAGTTTCAGTTGTTGAACGTTGATCAGCTGATGACGCCGTGTAGTGAATTTAACGACAGGAAAGTAATCTGTCGACACGTTTATGACGGTTGAAATTCTGAGAGATTGGGAACCGCAGATTCGACGGAACGTGCTTACACACACACACACGCGCGCGCACACACACACACACACACACTGTACCGTGTTTAAATGTTTGCAAATCACATACCCCTTTCGCCTTAAAATCGATAACAGAGGAATGTTTAAATGTGTTTTAATCAGGACTAGACGGCACGTTCGAGGTTTTGCCTCTGGCAACAGCAACCACATTCGATTGTAAACAACGGGTAATATTCCGACAATAGATTTTTATGCGTTCCGCCGCGTGTACGTTTACTACGTTTTCAATCTGAACAACGATTTTTTAATTTACTACGTCTCACGATAGGATCGATGGTTGTCACAGATAATCGAAATTATTTATTATTTATCTTTAATTTAATTCCTTTCTCTTCGCGCTCGCGATTTCCTTCAGGGAAATTACTTGTTGTCTCTTTTCTTTTCTCTTACGTTTTAGAATTGTACTTGGTACTTGGCTTTTTAAGAGCCAATGATAATAATAGCTTGTAAATAAAGTATGCAGAGAGACTGTTGTTGTAAGTATCCAGTAGCAGTGAATCGTAACGCCGACAATGAGGCGATGATTATATAGGTGATGTGTAGGTGATTCGCCGCGAACGACGGCCCAGAGTCAACCAGATTACCGAGTTCTCCCGTTTTCACGTGCCCCGTGTATAGTTTTATTACAACTAAAGTTCAATCGCGTCGTTCGCACGAATCGTATTGTGATGCTTAGTGCGAATCTAGCTTCTATGCGCGATACGTTAGATATTTATACGTATACGATGATGTACATGTCTATTTTTAATAACAAAATAATATTGCCTCGTGAAACAGTTTGATTTTTTTACTTTGACATATATAAAAACTCAATTCGATTACTAACTATTACTACTACTACTACTACTAGTTCCACTTAGTTCGATATAAACTGTTTTTGTGCCACTGCATAATTCTGTATATGTAGCTTCAGACTTCCAGGAAAAGAAAATCAATTACGCGCGACATAGAAAAATATATTAGCCTCGCATCGATTCGAGGCACCGCCACGAAAAATTCGGAGAGACTTAAATCTCAGTTGCTTGCTCTACCAATCACACGCGCGCGCGATGAGTAAAAGAAGAACCTAAACTTTGATGCACAGACCGTTTTCTGCTGCTGCTGCTGCTACTGCTGCTCGATCGGCTGATTACGAAAGTGGGAGCTTTAGAAAATGTGATTAAAATTCAAATAACAGCAATGTAGCATTCGTCAAGTATTTCTAATGTATGGATTTGTAAAAGTAAATGAAACTATTTGTAAAATAAAGATATAATGTAAACTACTATGGTCTCGGATCTTTAAAATTGCTCGAGACCCTCACCACCTCCCTTCCCCAGTCGATGTACTCCTCGTCATGGGAAACAGTAGGTGTTGTAGTTGTAGTAAGTTGGTATTATTTAGATTTATTTACGAAACGTTTATCTTTACACGAATGATGAATACTTGTGATACTGATCGACGACGATACTTTGTGTAACCGTCTTCGTGAAATAAAAATAATTCTATCGTGAATGATACGCGGCTACATCGAATTCCTAAATATAAAGAAGAAGCTGCCTTAATGTCTAACACACATTCAGCTACCTCATCAAGTATCATCGAACCAATAACAGCGGATAACGACGTCTATCACATATCATAACGTTGAGGAAAAAAACTAAAGTTCTTCAATCTTTCGAAGAATGATTTTTATGATCCTTCACATTTCGATTCCGTTTTTCTCTTGAAGTCAAAAAAGTAAGAAAGATGAAAACGGTGTGGAAAGGAGTTGATTGATTCTCTTTCACGACACATTATATTAGAAATATTAACTCGAAACTTAAACTTTCCGTCCAACTTCCGTACCCTACAGAACAGCAATTGACGATGATATTGTACCGTAATATTTGTTGCGAACAGTACGATGCAACACACAGATTGGAATGAAACGATTTTTTCATCCACGATCTTTATAAATGACAATTCTAGTAAACGTAGTAAGAATAGTAATAATAGTAATAATAATAATAATAATAATAGTGGGAAATGGAAATGGGAGTTACATGGTATTTAAGCGCGTTCTCCACGGATTCGTCGGGCAAGCTGGATATCCTTGGGCATGATCGTCACGCGTTTCGCGTGGATGGCGCACAAGTTTGTGTCCTCGAAAAGACCGACCAGATAGGCTTCCGAAGCTTCCTGCAAAGCTCCAATGGCTGCGCTTTGGAAACGCAGGTCAGTTTTGAAGTCCTGCGCGATTTCACGTACCAATCTTTGGAAAGGTAACTTTCTGATCAACAACTCGGTTGATTTCTGGTATCTCCTAATTTCTCGGAGAGCGACTGTACCAGGCCTAAGAGAATTACCATTTTTCATTAATCACATTTTATCCGCTCTACTTGATGTTGCTGTTGCTGCTAACGAACGTCCTATAAGCGAGGACATAGTGGGATTAAGACAGACGTTGTGAAGACACTCACCTGTATCTGTGTGGTTTTTTCACGCCACCAGTGGATGGGGCACTCTTACGCGCTGCCTTTGTGGCTAGCTGTTTACGAGGCGCCTTGCCTCCCGTCGATTTACGAGCCGTCTGCTTGGTACGTGCCATTGTTCACACTACTAGAAGAACCAATAACAGAAACATCCTATTTTTAATGAAACTTCGAGCGAAAACGTCCGGCGACGATGTATAAACGAGTACTGAGCGCGCGTTTGTGGACTAACTAATGTTGCTAGTTTCTGACTGAACGATGACGATCATCGTATCCTCGCTGAACGCGCGCGCGCACGGTTAGACGATCAAGTGGATGGGAGATACGTATATGCAGCACGCGATAAGTCAATTAAACGTGGACGAGTAGTAGGTACGTAGGTTTTAGTTGCGGTTGCAAGGCGGGAAACGAAAGGATACTGGGGACGCGAGGAAGGTGGTGGGGAGATCAGAGTCGGAGATCCGCTGCGACTGTTGATCGCGCGTACGCAACGGCACTCCAAAGAACGAACCCATTGCGCAATGTGTGGACTTTTGTTCCCTCCTGCACCGACCGAATCGAAAGCCAACGCGAGAAAAATGTATCATTCGAATCCGTCGCGGATTCTGAAGAGTCCCCCCTCCCCCTCGCGGCCCCGTAGAGATTCTCCACACGAAGAGAATCATCGCATTCACGCGTGACGGTGTGACGATGATCACGACAACGACGACGACAATGATGATGATGATGATGATGATGATGATGATGATGAAAATCAACGAGAGTCGATACACACGCTGCTAAAATGAATTGAATGCTAACCGCTCGAAGAAAGTTCGAAACGTGGAACGGATTCTCCCCACGTACGTTCGAATCGCAAAATGGAGGCACTGCCGCCGCGAACTGTTCGTAGCATTCGTACAAGAGATCGTTCTTACTATTCGTCGGACTTGCACTGTTGCACCGGCTACCACGACGCGACAGTCACCGGCGCGATTGAACGCGATCGTCGACGAGATAAAATTTTCAAGGGAACCGTCGTCGCCGATACCTTTTCCACCGAAAAATTGTACGGGAAGCGAGAGCCAACAAGCACTATCCGTCTCCACCTTACTCCTCCTTCGTGTAGTTACTAGTTCGATGGCAGTGGACGCTCACTCTGAGTCACGAACACGAACACGAACACGAACACAACACGAACACGATTTCCTTGTCCCTACCCCTTAAAAATTAAATCGCCCGAACGGCCTAAGCTCGCGATGCAGTGCAATCGGATACCACCGCGGATAGTAGCAGAGGCAGAGACTCGTTGCGCGAGCAATGCGATTGGATCAAATAACTACTGCTACTGCTGCTGCTGCTGCTGCTGCTGTTACTGTTTGTTACTACCATTTCCCACCATTTCCTATACCCAATAGAACTCAGAACGGGGCCAAGTGACGAACACGAGTAAACACGGCCTATACTATGCGAGGCAAATCAACGAAGTTTGAATCTATGTAGAATTTAGGAAAATCAGCTAGAATGTGAAAAGAATCGTTACGGTTTAAGAAAAAATTGACACGGATCACGAAAATAAGTTAAAAGCGTCACCCACTCCAACCAACCTCGCGTGGAACACGACCACGGCACACGACGACGACGACGATTCTCTTCACGACGAACGATGATTGCAAAATGGAGGTAGCACCGAATGTCTCTCTGTGTATACTGGTATACGCCCGATAAATCGATTTCACTTTCCCCGAGGTTTTCACGTTCCTGCTTCTGCTATGTAGTACACTTTGCGTTGACTGACGCGATCACTACCGCGATTAACGAGATCCTCACGGATGCTCACGCCCTTTAATATAAATTACCTTTGCTTTTCTTTGCAATGGGAAAATTTTATGTAAACCGAGCGATCCACCTAGCGCTAACCGCTTCCCACGTAACGTGTGTACCTCGCGATGGCAGTGTGGACGTTCGGGACGCTCTCTCGGCTCTCTCGGCACGGCTATCCCCGACCCCGACCAACGACAGTCCCTTGTCCCTACCTAGTAGGTAGGTAGGTAGGTAGTACCTACATACATCCAACTCCCTAAAAATTAAATCGCGAGCGGTACATATGTGTGCGGTACGGTAAATGACTCAACGGAGACCGGAGTCCGGACCTGCTTCGCGCGTACACACACAAAAAATGCATAGCAAGACGACGACAACGTCGTACGAAAGGTATTAAAGATAGAACGAAAGAAAACGCGCCACATTTTGTATGTATGCGTGGAAAGTGGATTCAGAATCGTTTGGGTTATTCGCCACCCTGTACACAACGCGAGCCTACCCACGGTGTAACAATTAGCAATACCAGTTTCATATATCTGATCCATGGATGCCATCGCCGGTGCCGCGTAAAACGTATATAATATATTGTATGTATATATGTAGTATGTTGTACGTATGTACATACATTACATATACGTCAACGGAAACCTCGTTTAGTTACTTACAATAGCGGTAATTGCCATACCATTCGACTATTCTCAGCAGGAACCAGCTGATTCGATTGCCGCCGAGGGATTTCACGTTTTTAACTGCTGACATCTATCTCGCTACGATGCGATTCTACAGAATGAAATTATCTGTCTCAGATTTCTAACAGAATTTTGAATTCTATGCGAATCGTATGGGACTTGAACTTTGATCCTCCGCGTAATTCCTAATCCTCGATTACGATCGTTTTCGGTCGAAAGTTCTAGAAATATATGCAAATTTCGGGAATCGCGTCACATTCCAATGAAATCTAACGAGATCGAGATCTATACTACGCACAGTCTGACTGCTGACATTACTATTCGTTCGCTGAAACAACGAATACAACACGCGAATCTTTGTAAGCCCACCCGATTATTAAATATTTTTTACGAGCTTCCTGCGCTTAGCGATACACCGCCATTATGCAGTGCGTTCGAGGTACATACGGCGTCGAATCGATTTTGTATGCATATACGCAGTACGCGCCACGGACGTATGTACATACACAGATACGCATACGATTGTCAAATTTTGCCAATGTCAATATCGTAAAACAAAAATGGTATAGAAATTGATTGAATCTGTCTTCAAAAATGACTAAAGTCTAGTAGTAATATGTAGTAGCTGTTAGAAATCTGTTTTTTCTTAAAAATAGAATTTCATCGTTGTCACCGATAAAATAAAAAAGAATTTAGGATTCTGTTAACGTTGACAGAATCTTTCGAACGCTACTACACACGATGTTGGATTGGAGGTCGGAACGCGCGTTACAAAATAACAAGCAAGAAGCACTCTCCTACGAGTAAGACGATTTGGTCAAATATTATTTATTACAAAATTGCATCAGCTTACACATTAATTTTACGTGTCGCGCGAGTCATCACGTTACGATTTTTATCAGCTATTAAATAATACTAATACCTATAGAATTAGTTGTACGAGAAATGATTCCATACTTGTTGGAGATATGATTAAATGTCGTGAAAACGTAGATTATAGTGTATGAATGTGAATCGATTTCAACCTTCTACATACATGAGTAACTAACTAACGAGACAAAGGAAACACCACCTACGATACGCGTTAATCAATTTCCTATGAGTAGCTGTCTTCTGCCTTGTAGTATGTAATACCACACACACGCACACGCACACGCACACACACACAGAGTGTATGTGTGTATATGAATACGCGACGTACATGAGAGATAAATTCGTCCACACCCTCGAAGCTTTTACAGCAACGTACAAAATTGTTCAAAAACTGTTATCTCAACGTTTATTACGACTATACCTTGTATGGTTTTACTGTGACCGTGTCTACTTTTTTGTATTTACGCGCGCGTGCGTGCGTGAACGTTGCAGACTATTGTGAAATACGATAATAAATCAAACGTGATCCGTTTATATGTATGATACGCGTATCCTTCCCTCGCTGTCCTAACATTAAATTTATAAGTGTAACCGTTCTAAAAACTACGTAATACGACGGATAGATACCTACTTTGGCTCTGTCTATCCTCGTAACACTTAATTACTTGGCAGTGTTCACGTGTACAACACACTGATAGACGTCGAATTTGAGAAAATTATCAGAGACAAAGAGAAGAACAGAGAAACTGGTTTGTCAGCTCGACCGATGTGATGAACTTTTCTCGTTCCTTGGAGAACATCTGCGTATCTGAGACGTATATATGTAGAATGTGAGAATGACGCAAATTTGAGAAAGGAAAAAAGAGATTGGAGATCCGGTGGTAATAATGAATCGTGCTTAAGCACGTTCTCCGCGGATCCTTCTTGCCAATTGGATATCTTTAGGCATTATTGTTACGCGTTTCGCATGAATCGCGCACAAGTTAGTGTCTTCAAACAGACCGACTAAATAAGCTTCCGAAGCTTCTTGCAAAGCTCCGATAGCCGCACTCTGGAAACGAAGATCGGTCTTGAAATCTTGCGCGATCTCACGAACCAAACGTTGGAACGGTAATTTTCTGATCAGCAACTCGGTAGATTTCTGATATCTTCTGATTTCTCGAAGAGCCACAGTACCAGGTCTGAAAACAGTCACAAATCACCGGAACCGGTTAAGCTAAGACTGCTGCTAATCCGTAGACACGCGGAGCGGCGATACGTAGGACATCGCGCTGCGATGCTGACCACGAGGGATCGACGGGTTGCCTACCTGTAACGATGCGGCTTCTTGACACCACCGGTGGACGGTGCACTTTTACGTGCCGCTTTAGTAGCGAGCTGCTTCCGAGGAGCTTTACCTCCCGTAGATTTACGCGCGGTCTGCTTGGTACGTGCCATGTTGTTTACTAAAAAACGATGATAATTTATCTGGTCATGGACGAGAAGTCGAATATCGATCTTCTTGCATGAACGCGATTTGTACGCGCGCAGAATATTTTCATTTAGCAGGCATACACGCGATGATGCACGTACACCTGCTGTTGGTGTAAACTGGATTACATTTTATTATCGAATTTTCAAGCGAAATCGAGTCAGAGATCTAGCGTAGTATGTGGTACAAACCGATTAAATCTAATGACAAAGTGTAATTGACACGAAACGAAGTTTCCCTCCAAAAGCTGCAAACACAATCAATAAAATGGCGGACGACGTACACGGGACGGGACTGACGCGACAGAGAAATTTTACACGCTCCATTACAGAAAAACCGATGCGAACTTTTTCACTGAAAAATCGTGTTGTTTGCGATGTTCGATCCAACGAACGTATCTTTTGTTGATCATCTTTAGTCCGTGATTCCGAACGTGATCGCACGTACCTTTTTTTGTAAGAAGACTGTTTCGTCACAGAATCGACTTGGGACAATCCTATCGGTACCTCGGACGACGTCTCAGATTGCTTGCACTGCTGCGCACTGCTACGAACAATACGAACAAGAACCCACGAACTGCCACGAACTACGACCACTGCGACCAACTGCAGAACTGCACTGCGGCGACGACGACGACGACGACTGAATGAGACCATAGAATAGACCACTGTCTCATAGACGTGCAACGACGAGAATAACTTCTAGGGGCTGCAGAGTCCTGATTGGTTGACCGCCATTGCCTGGAGACTTCCGGTATAAACTATACAGTTACTTGATTAAATTGCATCGGGGATGTATGAATTAACTTGTCATTTCAATAAAGTTATATGTTATTATCAAAGAAATTCGTCTCATTATCTTTTCCATTCTGTAGTTACAAGTATATGTACATTTGTACAATAAGTATAACAGCATTCGGCAAACAGGCAAGTAAGGACAAAAACATTGAAGAGCAAACCATGCGCATATACAAATATTTCTTAATCATTTACAAAATTAAATAGAATTCACTTTTACAGTTTCCACTGAGAGGCTCGGCAGCACTTGCGCGCAGTGATGTAAGATTTGCGGAATTTCGATCGCCGCGCGTACTGTGAGGAAAAGTGGAACTAAAAGTCTTGATGTAAGATTTTGCGGATTTTTCCGCCCATAGCGTAGACATGGACTTAAAGGACGGTGCATAGT